ACGAGCTCTCGGGGCAAAGACGGACCCCAGTGGAAACGAGACCCCAGGAGGTCATTCAGACGCCCGGGGCGTCCGGCCCACGCAGGGGCGCGTCGCCAGCATCTGTGGTTCGTCACGTACCGGAGTCGGGGCGTTAGAGGCCGCCGCGGGCGCTCAGTGGTGCCTGGCGCGGCGTCTTCCCTTCTGGCGCGCCGGCGGTTCGCTGAGGAGACCGAGGGCCCTCAGCACCGGCGGGGCCCTCCCTGAGCTCGAGGCTCCCGCCCCTCCGTGCTACCTGCGTGGGCTCCCCCTCTGGACACCGCGACTGAGAGTCGGCATTTGGACCCTGAGGAGAAAAGGGGGACCCAGCCCTGAGCGGCGTCCGTCAAGTTCACGGAGGAGGTGCAGATGAACGGATTTTAGCCATCGTGGCAGGTGCGTGCGCCTGGCGTGTCCATGGAGAGAGGCTGAGGTGTCCTGACACTGGCCCGAGATGGGGGTGGTGGTTTAGGCCATCGTGCAAGCTGTGAATGAGAGGAAGCTGCAGCCCAGCCTGGCCACCGGCGCCGTAACACCTTCCGCAGTAGTGAAGATAAAAGAACTTCCTAGAGATAAGCCTGAGTAGGGCAGGTGTGAAAGTTGGTGTTGGAACCAGGCACCATATGGTGTTTCTTAAACTCTGGAGTATCTGAAGAGAAGGGAGAAGCTGTTCGAGATGGAATCGGAGTGCTCATCGTAAGCACACACGCACACACGCTAACACTTTCAGAAAGTCATCACTGTGTTCACTCTGGTCTGAGTGTGTATGGCTTGCCTTTGAATAAATCCTGCTCTCTGTCCACCTCTACCTATATCTCCGGGTTGTAGTCTTACACACGCGAAGAGAAGGACCGGGATCAAGTCTCTCCTAGCCCAGCCAGGGCTCTTGATCCCCCAACGTTGGGCTAGAGAGGGCTCCCATCCACTGATTCACTCCCCAGCTACCTGTGACATCTGTGTGGGGGCTGGGATGGATGTGTTACCAGTCACGGAGGGCAGGGCTGTTGTCGGACCGAGTATCCTGGGTTCTTTTCCTCAGCTTATTATAGAAATAAAAAGCCGGGAAACAAGTTACAAAGAGGCAGAAACTTTATTCAGTTGGCAAGTGACAGGGAAAGCGTCTGGTTTAAGACTCGGGCAGAGTGCCCGAGTGGGACACTGGCATTGAGGAAGTGTCCTGGGTTTTAAAGGCATCGGTATCTGTTCGTTGGGTTACCCCATTGGGGGTGCCCATTGGACAGGAGTTTCACATACCTATGTTCATTGGCTTGGGGCTCATGGAGATGGGGGGGGGGTCTCTTGGAGACTGCCTCAGCCCCCTCCTGTGCTAGCTCTGGGTGGAAGATTGCAACTAACTTGAAGGCATGGTTTAAAACTGCAGGGTCACACAAGGTAGTCTGGATCTCCTAGAGCCAGTCGGACTCCCCCCAGAGGCTCAGCCCCTTCCCCTGCCAGCTGTGGGAGAAAGATTGCACACACCTGGAAAGTGTGATTTATTTTTTATAAAAGATTTATTTGAAAGAGTTACACAGAGAGAGGAAAGGCAGAGAGAGAGAGAGAGGTCCTCTGTCTGCTGGTTCACTCCCCAATGGCCACAATAGCTGGAGCTGTGCCAATCCGAAGCCAGGAGCCAGGAGTTTCTTCCGGGTCTCCCACGCGGACGCAGGGGCCCAAGGACTTGGGCCATCTTCCACTGCTTTCCCAGGCCATAGCAGAGAGCTGGATCACAAGTGGAGCAGCTGGGACTTGAACAAGCTCCCATGTGGGATGCTGGCACTACAGGCGGCGGCTTTACCTGTTATGCTACAGCGTCAGCCCCGAAGGTGTGATTTAAGCTGCAAGGTCACACATGCAGCACAAGAAGCTATTAGGGGAGATGCCAGTTGGTCTGGAGACAGGCTTTCCAGCCACAGCTGACAGCTTGTGAAGGACATCCTACCTATGTCTGAAGGGGCCCACAGACTCCCAGCCCCACTGGCCGGCCTCAGGAAGCTAGGGGCCTGGAACCCAATCTGGGGCTCTCGTGGGTAGTGGGGTCCCAGACAACAACTTGAGTCATTACTACTGTCTTGACAGAAAAGCTAGAGTCTAGGGGGTCAGTGCCGTGGCATAGCAGGTAGAGCCACCACCGGCAGTGTTGGCATCCCATATGGGTGCCAGTTCGAGTCCCAACTGCTCCTCTTCTGATCCAGCTCTCTGCTGTGGCCTGGGAAAGCAATGGAGGATGGCCCCAGTCCCTGGGCCCCTGCACCCACATCAGAGACCCAGAAGGACCTCCTGGTTTTGGTTCAGCCTAGTTCTGGCCCAGCTCCCAGATCCCAGCTCGGCTGTTGCAGCCATTTATGGAGTGAACCAGTGGGTGGAAGACCTTTCTCAGTGTCTCTCCTTCTCTCTCTCTCTAATTCTGCCTCTCAAATAAATAAAATCTTTTTAAAAAGAAAAGAAAAAATATGAAAGAAAAAAAGCTGGAGTCCAGAGCTGGAGCAAGGAATTGTAACCAGGCAGTATCATGTGGGATATCATGTGTCTTAACTGCCAGGCCAAATACCTACTCCCACCTGTTTTTAAATGCATTTCTCTTGCTATCCCAAATATCTTCTTCAGAAGGGGCTCTCAAACTGACTTTTAGTTGAAAACCATACTCCTACCTCCCTGAATTCCAGACGTGAGAAAACCCAAGGGAAATTGAAGGGCTTTTGTCCACCCCTACTCTACAAGCCAGGAGAGAGCCAGGTTCTACCCACATACGCACACCCTTCCTTGTAGGTGACACGTGCTCCACACTCAGGCAGTCAGCGAAGGTGAATAGTGATCCGGCTTCTTTATCTGGCTAACATTTTCATAAAACTTCTTTGTAACTTTATGGAGATCATATTGGTTTATTTTGAGTGGGGAGAATATTATTTTGAAACACTGTTTACATAAATTATCACCTTATTCTTGAGACTTTGAGACAATGATACATACTAGCAGAGAAGACATTATAGCAACCCAGAATTATTCTTTTGGAATGTAGTAGTAGTTGTGAAGTAGAACAAAGGGATCTTTTCTTAAAATTCCTAATATACATTCACTTTCTTGTTCCTAACTCCAGTTGCTAAATTTAAATATATATAAATATATATGTATATATAAAAATATATGTGTGTACATATGTGTGTGTGTGCAAGGCAGAGAGATACAGAGAGAACTCCTATCCACTGGTTCACTTCTCAAATGACTTCAATGGCTGGGGCTGAGCCAGTACAAAGGGGAGTTCTGGGAACACCATGTGAGTGGTAGAGACCCAAATGTTTGAGCCACCACTACTATTTCCTGGAGTGTGCATTAGCATAATGCTGGGATCTAGGGCTAGAACTGGGCATCTTCACTAGCATCTTAACTGCTAGGCCAAACTTCTGCACCCATCACTAAAATGAAATAATATTTTAACCAGATTTTTTTAATCACAGTTTCTTTTAAAGAATTCCTTAGTGAGTTTGTTGCTTTTTCTGGGTTTAATTTATTAAGCATTCTATGAGATGACATATTTAAATGGGTTTTTTAAGCAGTTGTCATGAATTGAGCAGAATCTTACATGCTTGCTCTGTTTACTAAAGTTTGTGTCACAAAACACATCAAAAGCTACAGCAGTAGGTTTATGTAAATCCTTGTGAGTTGTAGTGTTAATATAATTGTTAATCCACTTATAATTTGTACAATACTATATATGTATAGATTGAGTTATCAATTTTAAACAGATAACCTCAATGTGGTCATAAAAATGTGATACATTCATATATTGGAATATTATCCGGAAATAAAAAGAAAAAGTAATGATATATGCCAAAGCAAGAATGAATCTGGAAAACTACAAAGTTTATATAAGCCATATGCAAAATGATAAATATGTGCTTTACTGTTATTAAATATCTATAATAGGAAAACTCATAGGAACACAGAGAAGGTTAGAGGTTATGAGGGACTGGAGAGATAAGGGAATGTGAAATTACTATTTAATGTGTACACAATTTCTTTTTTTTAACTTTTATTTAATGAATATAAATTTCCAAAGTACGACTTATGGATTACAATGGCTTCCCCCCCATACCGTCCCTCCCACCCACAGCCCTCCCCTTTCCCACTCCCTCTCCCCTTCCATTCACATCAAGATTCATTTTTGATTATCTTAATATACAGAAGATCAGCTTAGTATACATTAAGTAAGGATTTCAACAGTTTGCTCCCACACAGAAACATAAAGTGAAAAATAATAGATGATTTTTTTAAATGATGATGAAATCAGATCAGACCTATTGTCATGTTTAATCCCAGTGAGAGTCAAGTTGGGAATTGATAATTTCTTTTTTTTTTTTTTACAGAAGATCAGTTTAGTATGCATTAAGTAAAGATTTCAACAGTTTGCACCCCCATAGAAACACAAAGTGAAATATATTGTTTGAGTACTCGTTATAGCATTAAATCTCAATGCACAGCACATAAAGGACAGAGATCCTACATGAGGAGTAAGTGCACAATGACTCCTGTTGTTGACTTTACCAATTGTGTGTACACAATTTCTATTAGGGTTAATAAAAGTTCCAGGAATAGATAGTTGTGATAAACAGAATGAGTTTATGTAACGGTACTGAATTGTACACTTGAAAATGTTTAAAATAGCAAATTTTATGTTACATATAATTTACCACTACATATCAAAAATATCAAAAGTGGGAGACTTTTCTCTTAATCCCCAAGCTCAAAATACTTGCCCTATTGTATTTTAAAATTTCATGAACCTTTTTGTTAAAGCTGAAACAAAGTAGTTTTGTATAACATGCATAATACTTATATTAGGCCTCTTCTAGGACTTTGGAATTGTAGGCCCTACCTGGCCTAGAAGGACAGTTCTAGGAATGACACATTCCTGTCAAGAGTCTGAAATGAGTAGTAACATTAACAGATGATGCAAGAGATGGTGGAATTATCTGTAGAGAACAGAGTCACATCGTTACCACCAAACTAGGAAAACGTCCTTTCCTTACGCGACAGGCCAAGTGAAACTCGGAGAAACGAGTCTCATTGCAAAAGAGCACGAAGGGGCTGAAGGCAGGGAAGCATGAGGATAAAATCATGGAGGTGTCCACCAGCCACTGACCTGGAATTACAAATACAGTCATCCACATGTGCAAAACGGAAGAGAGCGAATAAAAGGAACAAAAAGAGCTCACAAGGATCAAAATGGTGCGTGTGGCTCTGGCCTCATGGGAGGGTCTGGGGGAGAGGCTGTTGTGAATGTATTGAACTTGCTGCTTGTGCCTGTATAGGACAATAACCATAGAGCCACTAGCCCACACCATGAGTCCCAAACACAGAAAGTCTATTGTGAGGAACAGGAATACAACTAGAAACTTTAGATATCTGTCTGGGCTGAGGGAGGAACAGTATCCATAATTTATTTTTACACTTAAATTTTTGCTATTCATTGGACCAATCATTTTGATAGGAACAAAGATATTTAGCAACAGATGAAGGATCCAGAAGAGGAAACAACAGTAGCTAATGAACTTTGGGGATCTCATTCTGAGCTCTAGCCACCTAGAGAAATTGGGGCAAAGCTTGGTGGCCTGGAAGCCACCCAGGAGACAGGTAGTGCTGAGGGAAACCCCTCTAGCCACCCTGTGTAAATAAAAGAGAAGTTTACATGCAGCCTCATCTAGGAAATAGTTCAGCCCAAAAGCTGCCATTGCCTGAGGGATCCCTCTAGCAAAAAGCACAAAGGAATTGGCTAAGACCAGGTGGTTGAGAATGCTGTCTGTAGGCCTCACCTTATGCCCAGTGAGCAAAATGAAGGTATAGAGACAAAGGAGGGAGGAGTTTCCAATGATTCCCACTCCCATCTGTGTAAGGAAGATAATTCCTACTTGCAGCTTGGCAGAAGCCATCACATGAATACGTTTGGGATATTAATTTTAATTGGAGCCAAAAGAATTAGTAGTTCAGCAAACAAAAAAAGGAATATATTTCTATTACTAAACCTAACATATAATTTTTCATTTACATAGATCTTTAGTATGTGTTTTTACAGGTAGGAATCTACAGAAACTTGGAGAATGCCTTATTGTATATATGCCCAAAATAGTTTTCTGTACCTGTAATTGAGTGAGGAAGATCTCTACACTGATACACAGTTACCAGCTGGACGTTTTCTGACATGAAAAGCCAGTTACAGATTGTGTATAGAATATGCTGAAGTTGTCTAAGTACATGGAAGAGTAAAATATATATGAACTGAATATATGTACTATAGACTTTTAGAATGGAATCTTGTTATAGTAGCTTTATTTTTACAAATGTAAATATTTAGCATAATTCTTAAATAATAGTAAACCAAATTAAATAGTTTACAAATGTAAAACTCAAAGGTTACAAAGATAAATACTAGGTGGTAGTCTCCTAAGAAAATTAAATACTTCAATTGAATGAAAAATAATAATTTTATTATTTACTATAATCCTAGTGGAATATATCAGAAGAAAACTCTGTAAAGAAATCTTAAACTTCACTTATGTATTTTACTAAAAGTATTGATGTGGTGTTTTTGAAGCAAATGTATTCATGTAAGTGGATAATAAGACTTGTTATTTAACAGAAATTAAGTGCAAATATAAAACTAAATAATTCTAATCTAAAGCTTTATTTGATAACAGTAGTCAATATTAACTCATAGTATTTAATTGTAAGTGCATATATATTTTTTCTTTCTCTTTATATTAAAAAACTAAAAACTATGGACCACCATTTAAGAATGTCTAATTCTAATACCCAGTTTTGTTATTCTTTTGACAGTTTCTCAGTATAAGAGTGTAGATTACCCTGGGCTGGAGGGAGATTTTTTTTTTAAAGCTTGTTTCAGATCTGGAGCAGGACATTTCCAAGATTCTTTGGAAACATCTGATCAAATAAAGGAAGCAAGGAAAGTGTTGGAGTGCTGTGTTGACTTTCAGATGTTGTGGGATCACAGGATTCCACCTGAAGAAATTACCTTTGCCCAATTTTGGTGCAATGATAATTCCAAAAGATTGACACAGATAAATCAAATGTATGTGAGGAAGTGATAAAAAATAGCTGCTAAGGTTAATGATGAACAATTAATGTTAGAAAACAGCTCATCAAGATGAAAACTGATACAGGGAAAATACCAAACATTTCTCCTACCACTGGCTGTACAGATTGTATTTATCGGCAAGAAACTCTGTGCAAGCACAAAAGCTGGTCTGTTTTGATGATAACCTGGAGAAGTCACATAAAACAATTGTCTATCCTGAGTAAGGATGCGAGATACAAAATAAAATAATGAAACAACAAATCCAATGACATAGGAAATCTCACGGTAACAACTCCGTCTTTCATATGCACTGATGTTTCAGTATTGGATGATGAAGGATGCGAAGGTGTTTTCAAGTTAGGAAAGAACAAAACTTGCACAGGACAGCAGCCTGTTGAGTCGTCAACTGCTTGGCAGGGTCATTTCAACAAGATGGATGAAGATGTGAGATTGATTGCAATGTCTCTGATTGAGAACTGAAATGCACTTGAGAAACACCCTGGAAAACATAGGAAATGTTATTGGAATCAATAATGTAGTTTAGAATAGTCACAAATCAAGACATCCATGTTTTTCCTTTATATAGACAATAGTCTGCTTAAGTAATTTACTGAAAAATAAGTGAAATTTGGGAAACATTACAATTAAGTAATAAAAGGAAACTAATGGGGTTCATTTTAAATAATAGCAAAGAAAGCTGTTGTCCTAGATGAAAAATTTCCCAGTATTAACAATCCAATGCAAACTGATAGGTATATTATTGAATAAAATTCCAATGAAAATGTTAACATTCCTGAAGTTCCTCTAATATCAAAACTAATATATTTCTTGAAAATCCAGTTTAATGAAAAGAATTTACCATACCTTTTGTAAAATATAATCACAACTACAATTTGTTATTTAAAAAAATGCAATAGGGACCAGTGTAGCAGGTAAACCCACCGCCTGCAGTGCCAGCATCCCGTCTGGACTCTGGTTCGAGTCCCAGCTGCTCCACTTCGATCCAGCTCTCTGCTGTGGCCTGGGAAAGCAGTAGAAGATGGCCCAAGTCCTTTAGCCCCTGCACCCACATGGGAGATCAGGAAAAAGCTCCTGGCTCCTGGCTTTGGATCGGCGCAGCTCCAACCACTGTGGCCATCTGGAGAGCAAACCAGCAATAGAATACCTCTTTCTATCTCTCTCTCCCTCTCTCCCTCTCTCTACCTCTGCCTCTTTGTAACTCTGCCTTTCAAATAAAATAAAATAAAATCTTTTAAAAAATTGGAATAAGGCAAGGAGCTTGAACATGATCTATTTTTGTAGATATTTGCATCAAAGTTTATCAGAAATTGTAGCTGTGAACTACAAATTAATTGGGAAAAAGGATTTATTTAATATAGTCTTAAAATATGTGGAGATTTAGTTAATACTTTAGAAGTACATTTATAGCTTTAGTCATAGAAAAAAGGAAATAAACATTTGTTGTAAACATAAGGAATGTCAAATTTCTTGCATAAAAATACTGCAGGGTGGGGCCAGCGCTGTGGCACAGGTTAATCCTCCACCTGCTGTGCCGGCATCCCATATGGGTGCTGGTTTGAGTCCCGGCCGCTGCACTTCCTATCCACCTCTCTGCTATGGCCTGGAAATGCAGTAGAAGATGGCCCAAATCCTGGCTTCGGATCATCGCAGCTCCGGCTGTTGCGGCCATTGGGGAGTGAACCAACGGACAGAACTTTCTCTCTGTCTCTCCCTCTCTCTGTCTGTAACTCTACCTCTCAAAAAAAAAAAAAAAATACTGCAGGGTATTTTTCATGATTTTGCCTGAGTGAAGTATTACTAAGTATGTATCAAATCTGAGGCCTCAAAATATGATCTCAAAATATTTTTGTTTATTTGTATTTATAAAACTTTTAATTAAAAATTCTTCCCCCCCCCACTCTCTTTTTCTTTCTCTTTCCACCTCTCTCTCTCTCCCTTTCTGTGTGTTTGTCTTTTGCCTCCCCCAGCTCCTCCCTACCTGCTTGATTTAGCCCCCTTTTGGGTACTTTGGCTCCCTTCCCAGTGATCTCCTTATGGGATATTGCCATTTTGTCTCTCTAGGACCACTGGGTATAATGAACTTGTGACACCACCTGTGTGCTGTCTTGTGGCTGCATCTGAATGACCAGACTGTGAAACAAAATACAAAGCACCTGCAACTTAATAGTTTCTTTTAAAAGATTTATTTATTTTATTATTTGAAAGGCAGAGTTACAGAGAGGCAGAGGGAGAGAGGGAGAGGGAGAGGGAGAGGGAGAGGGAGAGGGAGAGGGAGAGAGAGAGAGAGAGAGAGAGAGGTCTTCCACCCACTGGTTCACTCCCCAGATGGCTGCAATGGCCAGAGCTGGCCAACCTGAAGCCAAGAGCCAGGACTTCTTCCGGGTTTCCCACATGGGTGCAGGGGCCCAAGGACTTGGGTCATCTTCCACTGCTTTTCCAGGCCGTAGCAGAGAGCTAGATCGGAAGTGGAGCAGCTGGGACTTGGACCAGTGCCCACATTGGATTCCGGCACTGCAGGCAGCAGCTTTACCAGCTATGCCATAGTGCCGGCCCCAAATTAATAGTTTTTTAAAAACAATTTAGAGAGCCAAATATATATAATTTGTATATCTTTTCCAATCTTGTTTTCCAGAAAGCTCATGTAATTTAACATTGAGTAAAACACCTTGTAAAAACAATATGATCGGGTGGTGCCATGGCTGACTTGGCTAATCCTTTGCCTGCGGCGCCGGCACCCTGGGTTCTAGTCCCGGTTGGGGCGCTGGTTCTGTCCTGGTTGCTTCTCTTCCAGTCCAGCTCTCTGCTGTGGCCCGGGAAGGCAATGGAGGATGGCCCAAGTGCTTGGGCCCTGCACCCGCATGGGAGACCAGGAGGAAGCACCTGGCACCTGGCTCCTGGCTTCGGATCAGCGCAGTTCTGGCAGTAGCGACCATTTGGGGGGTGAACCAATGGAAGGAAGACCTTTATCTCTGTCTCTCTCTCTCTCACTGTCTAACTCTGCCTGTCAAAAAAAAAAAAAATCGGGAGCTGGCATTGTGGTATAGCAAGTTATGCCAGAAGCCGTAACTGTGAAGAGAGAGTAGAGCAGTGAGACAGCCATAGAGCACAGAAAGAGTTTAGTATGTATCTGCTGTTCTCAGAAAGAATCATTCCTCATTATATGCAGAAATATGTTTGTAGTGAGTTTCAGAAAACCTATTCATAACATATTACATACAGCTAGTTATATAATTCTCTGTAAATCTGACACATATCAGAAAATAAATGGACACTTACCAAGTGGCACTTGTGGTGGGGACAGTGGGTGGTAGGTGTAGATGTGGAATGTGGGCATGTGAGTCTGAGATATAAGTTTGTGATTCTATGAGCTCATGTCCTTTTGGGAAAGTGATTATCATTTCACCTGTAAGTAAAGTGACACTATCTGCCTAGGGAGTTGAGAAAAACACTTATACATCAAGCAAATTACTGAAATCAATTAATAATGAATTATAAATTTTCTATCAATTGCAGAAGCAGCAGGGGAAGAACTCATCTGAGACACAATGAAAAATAAATTTTGGAGGAATACTGAGCCAGTAAGAAAAACATTGTGATCTAACTAGTGAGGATAATGACTGAGCACACTCTTATCCAGGATTATTAATCTTTTAAAATTCATCTTAAAATAGGATTCCTTTCTATCCCTGGGTTCACAGAGGGCATTGAAATTGAAGGGAGATCAGTAAGCAACAACATTTGGGTGTCTCAAATGAACAGAAATCTGTGCTGTCACTCTCATTAAGTATGCTCCAAAACATTTCATGGAGGTCCTTA